ATTAAGTATATCAATATACTAGTGTGGATATGTAACAACTTCAAATCTAACACACTGGAAGTAGAAGTCAGAATTGGGTTTTCACTGGAAGACTATTTGGCAATCTCTTCTATAGCTGGACATATACATACCTTATATCCCCAAAGTACTATTCCTTTGAGAAACTAATGTGACTTCATTTTTGAAAAATCAGCTTTTACCTCAAGGCCTTTCCAAAGGGAGGGGGCGTGACCCTTGTCTTTGGAAAAAACCACATAGCCACTCTGTTGAGTTGTTTGTCTGTAGATAACAGCAGAGATCTGCAGGCACCAGGTGTCCCAGACTTAGTTATGCTAGTTCTTGTAAAGAGCCTGAAGACCCATAGCAACCCCCTAGCAACCACCAATCAGCGTGAGCCAAGGAAAATACCTGAAATGTCAGTTGACCTCCCAGTAGTTTCATGATTGATAATATGACTAGGAAACCCTGCAGTTTAGCATATACCTCTTGCAACCCCTCATGGCCTAAACCAATCAGTTCAAATGTATTCACCTCTTGAAATATCCAATCAAACCTACCCAACTTGTTCCCACCAGTCAATGTGCTAATCAATGATAAGAGTTGTTGTTTGATTTTCCCACAGTATGAAATGTTGTTGTGTCACATAGAGTATCCCCCAAAACCTATAAAATCTCACTAAACAAAGGACACAACTCAGTCCTCAGGACCACTGCATTGGAAATGGTTGTGAGTCCAGGCTCACTTGCAATAAAGACTCTTATGTGATTGCATTGAATTCGGCTCCTGGAGGTCTATTGGGGTCCCCAGAATCTGGCATTACACCTTCTTTTGTAAAAATTGAACTTAATGGAGATATGAATATGTGTGTTTGTGTGTGTATACATACATATATATAGATATACCCAAAATTTAGGCAGAATGATCAGTCTTATTATTTGCAGTTTGACAAATAACAGGTTGTCTCTGTTTATTAGGATGCTGCATATTAATGAAAATGTACCATCACTACACATAACCAAATATAAGGAGGACTTTAGTAGGAAAGTTAAAGAACACAGGCATAAGAAACACATTGTGAATGATTCCACTTCAATATCAGTTTTTAAATCACACAAAATTAACCATCAATTTTTGTACCAGCTTTAGTCAGGGCACTATTGCGATGGCAAAAGGTGCGACTTATGCAGTCCAGGGGGAGGAAACAGAGAATGTCCATGTGCTT